GTTGAGGCAGCAATTAAGAGCCTACCACACAAAAAAAGCCCAGGTCCAGATGGGTTCACAGCCAAATTCTACCAGACACACAAAGAGGAGCTGGTACCATTCCTTCTAAAACTATTCCAAATAATCCAAAAAGAGGGAATCCTTCCCAAATCATTTTATGAGACCAACATCATCCTGATACCAAAACCCGGCAGAGACCCAACAAGCAAAGAAAACTTCCGGCCAATATCCATGATGAACATAGATGCAAAAATCTTCAATAAAATATTGGCACGCCGATTGCAACAGCAAATCAAAAAGCTTATTCATCACGGTCAAGTAGGATTCATCCTGGGGATGCAAGGCTGGTTCAACATACGCATATATAGAACTTTATAGAACATACGTTCTATAAACGTAATTCACCACATAAACAGAACCAAAAACAAAAACCACATGATTATCTCAATTGATGCAGAGAAGGCATTTGACAAAATACAACAGCCCTTTATGCTAAAAACCCTCAATAAACTCGGTATCAATGGAACGTATCTCAAAGTAAAAAAAGCTATTTATGACAAACCAAGAGCCAATATCATACTGAATGGGCAAAAACTGGAAGCATTCCCTTTGAAATCCGGCACTAGACAAGGATGCCCTCTCTCACCACTCCTTTTCAATATAGTACTAGAAGTTCTAGCCAGAGCAATCAGGCAAAAAAAAGAAATAAAGGGTATTCAAATTGGAAAGGTGGAAGCCAAATTGTCTCTATTTGCAGACGATATGATAGTATACCTAGAAGACCCCATCGCTTCAGCCCAAAAACTCCTGAAACTGATAAGCAACTTCAGCAAAGTCTCAGAATATAAAATCAATGTGCAAAAATCATAAGCATTCGTCTACACCAATAACAGACTTAAAGAAAGCCAAATCAAGAACGAACTGCCATTCACAATTGCTACAAAAAGAATAAGATACCTTGGAATACAACTCACAAGGAACGTAAGAGACCTCTTCAAGGAGAACTACAAGCCACTGCTCAACGAAATCACAGAGGACACAAACAGATGGAGAAACATTACATGTTCATGGTTAGGAAGAATTAATATCGTGAAAATGGCTATACTGCCCAAAGTAATTTACAGAACCAATGCTATCCCCATCAAGCTACCATTGACTTTCTTCACAGAACTGGAAAAAACCACCATGAACTTCATATGGAACCAAAAGAGAGCTGGCATAGCCAAATGAATTCTAAGCAAAAAGAACACAGCGGGGGGCATCACACTTCCGGTTTTCAAACTATACTACAAGGCTACAGTAATCAAAACAGCATGGTACTGGTACCAAAACAGAGATATAGACCAATGGAACAAAACAGAGGCACCGGAGGAAACACAACATATCTACAACTATACAATCTTTGATAAACCTGTCAAAAACAAGCAATGGGGAAAGGATTCCCTGTTTAACAAATGGTGTTGGGAAAACTGGCTAGCCATGTGCAGAAAGCAGAAACTCGACCCCTTTCTGACACCTTACACTAAAATTAACTCCAGATGGATTAAAGACTTAAACATAAGACCCGGCACCATAAAAACCCTAGAAGGAAATCTAGGCAAAACTATCCAGGACATAGGAGTAGGCAAGGACTTCATGAACAAAACACCAAAAGCATTGTCAACAAAAGCCAAAATAGACAAATGGGACCTAATGAAACTCCACAGTTTCTGCACGCCAAAAGAAACAGTCACTGGAGTGAATCGGCAACCAACAGAATGGGAAAAAATTTTTGCAGTTTACCCATCTGACAAAGGGCTGATATTCAGAATTTACAAAGAACTCAAACAGATTTACAGGAAAAAAACAAACAAGCCCATTCAAAAGTGGGCAAAGGATATGAACAGACACTTTACAAAAGAAGACATATATGAGGCCAACAATCATATGAAAAAATGCTCATCGTCACTGGTCATCAGAGAGATGCAAATCAAAACCACATTGAGATACCATCTCACGCCAGTTAGAATGGCGATCATTAAAAAATCTGGAGACAACAGATGCTGGAGAGGATGTGGAGAAAAAGGAACACTTTTACACTGTTGGTGGGAGTGTAAATTAGTTCAACCATTGTGGAAGACAGTGTGGCGATTCCTCAAGGCCTTAGAAATAGAAATTCCATTTGACCCAGCAATCCCATTACTGGGTATATATCCAAAAGGCTGTAAGTCGTTCTACTATAAGGAAACATTTACACGAATGTTTATTGCAGCACTGTTTACAATAGCAAAGACCTGGAATCAACTCAAATGCCCATTGATGATAGACTGGATTGGGAAAATGTGGCACATATACACCATGGAATATTATGCAGCAATCAGAAATGATGAGTTCGTGTCGTTTGTAGGGACATGGATGAATCTGGAGAACATCATTCTCAGCAAACTGACACAAGAACAGAAAATGAAACACCGCATATTCTCACTCATAGGCAGGAGATGACAAATGAGAACACATGGACACAGAGAGGGGAGTACTAAACACTGGGGTCTATTGGGGGGAAAAGGGGAGGGCCAGTGGGAGGGGGAGGTGGGGAGGGATAGCCTGGGGAGAAATGCCAAAAGTGGGTGAAGGGGAGAAAGAAAGCAAAACACACTGCCATGTGTGTACCTATGCAACTGTATTGCATGCTCTGCACATGTACCCCAAAACCTAAAATGCAATAAAAAAATAAGGGAAAAAAAAAAAAAAAGAATCACCAAGATTTTTGGTACTAGGGAAAATTTGCATTGGAAGTAAAAAAAAGCCTAGTGTTTCAAATGTTATTCTCTAATATTTTAATATTAGTAATATGTTCTAGAAAAAGATTGTTTTGTAATATAGAACAACATTTATATATTAAGATTTCCACGTTATAATACAAATGTACTATGAACAAAAATAGATAATTTGCCACACAGTAATACATGCATATTAAAGCATTTCTACAGTTATACAGTAGTAGAAAACTACAGAAGTGGTTTTGGAGAGTGTCTGTCTTTGAATGGGACATCATTTTGTATTGAGGGCCACTAAATCACCTAAAGAAAAATATTGAGTATAAAATGCATAAAACATTTAAACTTAAAAAATAAAAACAAGAAACACAAAATTCTACATAATTGTCTTGTGTTTCAGTTTTGACTTTGGAAGTCTATTATTATTTATTTTTTCATCTCTAACAAATGAGAAATTTGTGATTAAAAAATATAAAAAAAATTTTTAGAGATATACACGGTCTCATTTTGTTGCCCAGGCTAGAATGTAATGGTGTGATCGTAGCTCACTGTAACCTTGAATCTTTGGGCTCAAGTGATGCTCCTGCCTCAGCCTCCCGAGTAGTTAGCACTCTAGGGTGCACCACCATGCCCAGCTAGTTAAAAAGAATTTTATTTTATAGAGACAGGGTCTCACTATGGTCTCAAACTTCTGGCTTCAAGCAATCCTCCTACCTTGGCCTCCCAAAGTGCTGGGATTACAGGCATGAACCACCACACTTGGCCAGAATTGGTAATCTTTGTATGACTATATTAAAGAGTAAGACACCAGTTTCTCTGTACAATTTCTGATATTATCTACTCACAGACCTAAGAAAATTTAGAGAATATATCTTCTTAAACTAGAAGAATTAAATTTTAAGAATGTTTAACATTAATATCCTTTGGAAATTTCTCCTGTCCAAATACCACCCACCACCCCGTCCTCTATTCAAATTATTCAATTTGTATAATTGTATAAATTATACAATTTCCATCACTTGTGCAAGCTCTCTCTCAGTAACTGAAAATAACTATCACTTATATAATATAATATGGCATAGCAATATCAGCGATTTCTGCAGAAGTACATTTGGAGTAATATAATGTCAGAAGAAGTCTGTTTTAGAAGATATTCTAACTATACTAAAAATGAAGCCTATACTTAAAGATATTCTAACTATACTTAAAATATATAAGTAATGTTCAGTAACACTATAGGTGTTGACACTATGTCAAAATTATGGTTTTATTTCACGTTTGCTGTATAGTGGTAAAGGCAGTGAAGGGATTCAATGAGTGGTAATGGCAGTGAGTGGTGATGGGGTGAAGGGACATGAGAAGGCTGGGAGGCTTCTTAAAGTAAGACTGTCTTGGTATTAAGTTCAACACATAGGATGTGCCAGAACATAAATATGAGTGTGAAATAGCTAACATCCATTATTTTACCTTCCTCACCAAAGTACACTGTATGCAGGATTCATATTACCATCTCAAAAGTTGATCAATCTGTGGTTCTTTACTGCAGATAAAGTTCATTTACTTAAAGGGATGATGCAAGAGTTTCACTAAGAAACTTGGTCATAAGGGAATATGAAACATTCCCTGCTACATAGTAGATAGTTAAAATACGTTATATACATGGATATAATCAGATTATCATTCTTTGGCCTGAATCTGACTAAGAAGGCATGAACATGATTCCCAAACTGGAAGAGGAGATCATTAATTGTTTTCACCTCCCCATAAATGTCACATGCCATCAACATAGATAATAAAAATCAGAGTACTATATATTAAGTATCTAGAATAGGCAAATTCATACAGACAGAAAGTAGATTAGAGGTTACCAGGGACTAGGGGTTGGGAAGAAGCACAAAGGAGGAGTTATTGCTTAATGAGTGCAGAGTTTCAACTTGGGATGAGGAAAATGTTTGGAAACAATGGTGATGGTTGCATAGCATTGTGAATGTAATTAATGCCATTGAATTGTACACTTAACAATGGTTAAAATAGAAAATTTTAAGTTGCACATGTTACCACAATACATAAAAAATTGACCATTATAGTTAATTTAGAATTATATTTCCTTCACATGAAAGAGTTTGCTAATTCTGTACTTCTCATCACAAATATCCAAAGTTGTTCCTTTCTAAAAGAGAAGCCTGGAAAACTTGAAATATAATGGAAGAAAAACAAAGTAAAAAGTCAAAACAAACTTCTTACTTTAATTGGTTCAGGCTGCATCACAGGCGCAGGTATAGTGATGGCACTTGGAGCATAAACCTGGTGATATGTTGCTTGAACTCCATGATCAGAATAAGGCTATTACAAAAAAGTGAGAGAAAAAAATTACCTTTCATTTATTAATTCAAAATATTTATTCAGCATTTACAATATACTAAACATCTTGCTATACAATGTAGAAATAGTTAAAAACACATTCCCCTATGTTTAATTAACTTATAATCTGATGAGGGAAACAGTACAATAATCCTAAGTCCTTTAGACATGTATAGGGATACAACAGGGAGGGGAAGAGATTATGTAAATGCAATTATAACTTGTTCAGTAGATGGTGGTACCATTCATTGGGATATAGAATACAAGGAAAGCTTAATATTCATGTAATTGTGCATGAGGGGTTGGAGAGAAGGAGTTAAGTTTGTGATATACAAAATTTGTGGTATTTGTAGGAATTCTAGTAGAAGTATATTATTGATAGATGTGGCTCTAGACCAGCATTGTCAAATAAAAGTATAATGTGAGCTACACACGTTATTTAAAAATTTCCCATTGTCACGGTAGAAAAGAAAAAATGGTAAAATTAATTTTTAGTAATGCATTTTATTTAAACTAATACATATTAAACTATTATCATATAAAAGTATAATCAATATAAACATTACCAAGATGTTTTACATTCTTTTTTCATATGGTGTCTTGAAAACCCAGTATGTATTTTACACTTAGGGGACATCTCAATTTGGTTTTGCCACATTTCAAGTGCTCAATTGCCACATGTGGCTAGGGGCTATTGCAGTGGCTACTGCAGTCTAAAACTGAGGAGTGAGACTGGGGCTAGATATATGGCTATGGAGGATAACATCAGAATGAGTATATGTGGCGAAAGAATGGAGAACCAAATATGAAATCTGCCTTTAAAGGAAAACAAATGAAGGTAACAGGACTGCCAGAAGAGAGTAGTATCATGGAAATCAAGGGTAGGAAGAGTTTTAAGGAGTAGGTACGATGTTTCTGAGAAGTCAAATAAGACTAAAAAGGAAGGAAAGTTTGTGGCAGTTAGGAAGCCATTGAGGACCTTTGTCCAAGGCAGCTTTGGCAGAAAGGTAATGAAGTAGACTTCAGCAGGTGAGGAGTGAATGGATAGCAAAGTAGCAGAAATTCTGAATGTAGACTACTTTTTCAAGAAACTTGGCTTTGAAGGGTAGTAGAAAATTAGGGAATTGGTGAGGGTGTGTATCATAGTTATCGATAACATTGCCTCTTACAAGGTGCTAGGCACTATACAAAGAACTTTGTATACCATATCTCTAGTCTTTACATCAATCCTGCATAATAGATTTTCCTGATGTCCTCATTTTACAAATAAGAAAAATTTGAAAGCAAGACTACAAAGGGTTAAGTAATTCCTCAAAGTAACACAGTAAGTGGTGAAGCTGTAAACCAATGGAGACAAGAAGACTTCAAATACAAGAGAGAAAAATAACAGTAGATGGAATGAGGCCCCTGAGGAGGAGGGAACCGACAGCATCTAGATTGCAAGAGGTATAAACAACCTTGGACAAGACTGAAAGTCACTAAATAAATATAAGAAGCTAAGAATGAGTTAGGATTCAGGTAAATTTGTGTTTTGAGGGTTGGAGGCTGAGCTGGTTTCCACAAATATGTTCTTACTCTGCAAAAGAGAAGGCAAAGCTACATTCTTAGAATGACACAGGCAGTTGTTGGAGTGGGGGCAATCTGGTAGTACTGAGGGCTTGGCAAAGGTTTAATATAATCATTGAAATAAGTGAGTGAAGATGCTAACTTTTTTTTTCTTTAAAAAGAAGGTCTGACTATAACACTCTCAAGAAAAGCCCTGAAGTTCTTAATTTTAGGGAAAAAACTCTATAAACTATCCCACTCTATTCTAATATATTCTATAGTCAAATTATATATTAGACTATACCATCTACTAGAAACAATATTGAAACCAAAATATGCAAATATTTTGTACGGAAATATCACACAAAGTTTACAAGTTATAAGACAATAATGAGCAATATTTTCAGAAAAGCCTTACTAGATTCTATTAAATAGTGCATACATTCTGACAGTATCCTGATATCAGGAATTAAAAATAATGATTTAATGCCAAAAGAGATTCTGACAAAAAATCAAATGTAAAAGCATTCTTATCTCACTACCTGCTCTTTGCAAACAAGAAAATAACAAAAAGGACAAAATATAGATTTTTAAAATGCCATCATCAATTAAAGAGGAAAACGTCTATGACTCCCAAACGACACACAATGTAAAATGTCTGCCAAGTGCAAGTTGGACCAATATAGAGGAAGATTCTGGAGCCTCCTCAGACATCAGAAAGGATAAAGATTTCCCTAGAGGTTGATGTTCTGGAAGACCTCTTCAAAGATATTTTAGAGTCTTGAGTGCAGAAGTATGTATTGGTCAGGGTGAAGTAGAAGCATAAAATATCTCCACAGAGATCCTGTTTTACATGATTTAGTAACAGGAAGGTAGAATTGATGGAGAAATTATATTTATACATTTTTTCTTGTCTACTATCTAGCTTTTACCTAAGGAACACTGCTGGAGGTGAAGCAGGGTAAAAGTGGGAAAGGAAGTAGCATTGCCACATCCCAATACAGAATACCTGTGATAAAAAGGACTTCACAAGGAAAGAAAATGATCTCTGGCAAGGATGTGGAAGAAAGGGAATCCTTGTACACTGATGGTGGGAATGTAAATTAGTATGGTCATTTTGGAAAACAGTAAGGCAGTTTCTCAGAAAATTAAAAATACTCTCATATGATCTAGAAATCCCATTACTGTGCATATATACCTAAAGGAAATGAAGTCAGTATGTCAAAGAGAAATCTGCACTTCCATGTTCACTGCAGCATTATTCATAATAGTCAATAGATGTGGAATTAACTTTAGTGTCCATCAATGGGTGAATAGATAAAGAAAATGTAGTATCTCTATACACAATGGAATACTGTTCAGCCTTAACAAAGAAGGAGATCCTGTCATTTATGACAACATGGATGAACCTGGAGTTCATCATTATGATGAGTGAAATAAGCCAAGCACAGAAAGACAAATACTGAATGATTTCACTTATATGCAGAATGTGAAAAAGTCGAACTCATAGAAGCAGAAAGAAGAATGGTGGTTGCCAGGGGCTGGGGATGGGGAATGAGATGGAAGATGTTCGTCAAAGGGTACAGAGTTTTGGTTCTAAAGGATGAATATGCTCTGGAGATCTACTGTATAGCATGGTGACTACAGTTAATAATAATGTATTATATACTTGAAAATTGCTACAAATTCAGGTACTTTAAATGTTCTCACCACAAACAAAAAAAAAAGGATAACCAAATGAAGTGATGGATTAACTTGATTGGGGTCATCTTTTCACAATGTGTACATATATCCAAACATCATGCTGTATACTGTAAATGTATACCATTTTTTGTTAATTACACTTTGGTAAAGCTGGGAAAAAAAGAAACTACAAAAAATAAGTGGGGCATGAAACAAAGAATAAAGAAATCCAAGTAAAAGTATTGATGCTAAATATTAAGATCCAACTGTGTAAATTATTGTCTCAGAACAGAATTATAATGTTACAAAAGTAATAAAACAATGTACTTAAATTGAGAGGTGAATGCTAATTTTCTAATCTTTCATGACAATGATTTAAAACATATCATGCACATGGTATTGGTACAAAAACAGACACATAGACCAATGGACTAGGATAGAGAACTCAGAAATAAGACTGCACATCTACAACCATCTTCAACAAATCTGACAAAAACAAGCAAGGGAGAGAGAATTCCCTGTTTAATAAATGCTGCTGGGGAGGTCTAGGGCAAGATGGCTGAATAGAGACGGCTCCAGTCTGCAGCTCCCAGCGAGACCAACACAGAAAGCAGATGATTTCTGCAATTCCAACTGAGGTACCCAGTTAATCTCATTGGGACTGGTTAGACAGTGGGTGCAGCCCATGGAGGGTGAGCAGAAGTAGGGCGACCTGGGAAGTGCAAGGGGTTCGGGGACTCCCTCTCCCAGCCAAGGGAAGCCACAGGGGACTGTGCTGTGAGGGACTGTGCTGTGAGGGACAGTGCTATCAGGCCCAGATACTATGCTTTTTCCATGGTTTTTGCAACCTGCAGAATAGAAAATTCCATCAGGTGCTACATCACCAGGACCCCAGGTTTTAAGCACAAAACTGGGTGGCCATTTGGGCAGACACTGAACCAGCTGCAGGGGGTTTTTTTGTTCATACCCCAGTGGTGCCTGGTACCCCAGCAAGACAGAACCATTCACTCCTCTGGAAAGGGAGCTGAAATCAGGGAGCCAAGTGGTTTTGCTCAGCAAATCCCACTTCTATGGAACCCAACAAGCTAAGACCCACTGGTTTGAAATTCTTGCAGCCAGCACAGTTTGAGGTTGACCTGGGATGCTCCAGGTTGCAGGGAGGAGGACAGACCATTACGGAGGCTTGAGTAGACAGTTCTCCCCCCATAGGGTAAACAAAGCCTCCAGGAAGTTTGAACTGGGCGGAATCCACCTCAGCACTGCAAAGCCGCTGTAGCCAGACTGCCTCTCTAGATTCCTCCTCTCTGGGCAGGGCATCTCTGAAAGAAAGGCAGTAGCCCCAGTCAGGGGCTTATGGATAAAACGCCCATTTCCCTGGGACAGAGCACCTGGGGAAAGGGGCAGCTGTGGGTGGAGCTTCAACAGATTTAAACGTTCCTGCCTGCTGGCTCTGCAGAGGGAAGTGGATCTCCCAGTACAGTGCTCAAGCTCTGCTAAGGAACAGACTCCCTCCTCAAGTTGGTCCCTGACCCCCATGCCTCCTGACTGGGAGAAACCTCCCAGTAGGAGTTGACAGACACCTCATATGGGAGAGCTCCAGCTGGCATCTGGTGGATGCCCCTCTAGGACAAAGCTTCCAGAGGAAGGGGCAGGCAGCAATCTTTGCTATTCTGCAGCTTCTGCTGGTGATACCCAGGCAAACAGGGTCTGGGTGGACCTCCAGCAAACTCCAGAAGACCTGAAGAAGAGGGACC